GACCATCGCTGGAATAACTATAGCCCAAAAGCTGTGATTCACGGTTCCATACGTGGCTGATGTGTTTCCAGTCGACTAGGTCTTTCGATGCGTAGATGGGCAGCCCGGGGAAGGATATGAAGGTGGAAGTTACGCAGAAGAACGTCCCGTTCACGTTGACGCATGATGGATCGCTGTGCCAACCTGGAAGTACTGGGTTGAGGAACGTTGAGTTCTGCGCGAGCGCTGGAGCTGCGCATGCGAGGACAGTTGTCACGATGCTTCGTAGAAACCGCATCGTGAAGAATTCCAGAGGGTCTCGACAGAGTCCACTCTCTACGCGGCAAGGTGGGACGCTTTATGCGTACCGTCGACCTTACGACCAAGAGGCTGGTACTTGCCTGCTGTGGAGAAGCGCGATCGACGGCCGTCTCGCGTACCAAATTGTGCCCATTTAGCCAGACTGCTTCCGCAGTGCTATTGCTGTTGTCATCGAACACACAACGTATTTTAACCGTTATGCAGGGTGACGCGAATATACGATGAGCTGCAGAGCCACCGGGCTTAATGAGCTTCCCAGATCCGAGGCTTCATAGAGATTGCGGAGAAATGTATGTCGATCTTCGCGAATGCGCCCGCTGACGTAAAGTTTTTCCGTGCCTGGTGATCGGATGCTGTGAAGCTTTCCAGAAATCCAGCATTGCGTTCCGTGGAACGCAGGTACGTGGCTGGATGCAAGCTGGCTGTCGTCAAATATCACATGCTTGAAGCTACACACCATTATCGCACTTAACAATGCGAATGAGATCGAGTATCCAGGAAAGAAGTTCGCAAGATGAGGCTCGCTGTTCGGAACATTGAGTTCCAAGTACGCGGGGCCGTTAGATGGTGTACACTGCACGTTCCAAGGTTCTGTTCAGGCAGGAGCGGGGTGCCCCGCTCTGGGGAAGCTCAACTCCGAGATCGCCTCATGCAAGGAAAAGCTGAACACCCTAGAGCCTACATTAAGGTAAAGATATGCAAAGTTAGTAGCCTAACGTCAACGTAGGCTCTATGGTGTTTAGTTTTTCCCTTGTATAAGGTGAACTCGCGCCACTAGTTAAACTTGCAAAGACGACGAGCAGGCTGGTAGACATGTGCACATCTAACACCCTCATGAAGATAGCTATACACGTTGAAGTGAATTGGTTGATCAATCTGACCAGCTATCTGCATGCATACCCGATAACACTGAAGAAGAACCTCCCGATACAAGTGCCCTTAACGCCAGTCCATCATTTGTCTTTTTTGCGTATGTCCTTCCCACTTTCTCTATTCAAAACGAGCAGACTCCGGCCAAACTCCGCCAATCCTGCACGGAAGCCTGCACGGAAGCCTGCGCGCCAGCGATCAAATCCGACAACCTGAACCGCTCTGTTCCGTCGGCGTCGCCGTGCGGGGTTTTCAGGTTCCGCCTGAGGCTGAGGTGCCACGGGGGGTTGAGGTGCCACAGGCAGATGCTCTTCCCCGCCATCGTACGTGTATCCAGGAGGCGGTATTCCGCTTGGAACATGGCTTCCGATTAAAGGCTGACGTTCGCTTGGGCCTTCATACGGAGTATGCTGGATTGAGCTTGTGCTGTCGTTGGGTGGTCCTGTGTAGGGCAAGATGTCCATACTGTGTGATCTGGACGCATTACGGGACCCGGTGAGCGGCGCATTTTCGAATTGAAATGGACTACCGAGACGTGGACTGGGGGAAAAATAGTCACCGTCGTGCCAAGGCCTAGCTAAGAAGGCTGGGTGCCCTGATGGTCCAGCCGCCGGGGGTTCGTTATCCCTAGCTTGCTGTAGTTCATTCTGTTCATGGAAGTGCTCAGATGCAGCGGCTGATAAGTCGGAAGAAGAAGAATACCCAGATGACACAGAGCCGGGGGACCCCCCAGGTAAAGCTTGGTCTTCGGCAGAGACCTCAGTGGAGTCGTAGAAATCATCACCTGCTGGCATGTCGTGGTCGAACTCCTCGTCTTCTCCTGGGACTCCAGCGCCTCCTCGAAGAGTACCAGTCGTGATCTTGTATGGTCCAGACGTATGGTTTGCATGCTTGTCTGAAGTACGCTGCTGACTTGTATACGTCAAGTCGATCGTTGTCGAGATTTGCTGCGAGACTGTGGGCCGAATAGCAAGTGCTTGAGGTAGCTTTGCGGCATGTGTGTGTATGTGCGAAGGTACGGAAACATCGTCCGAGCTATTGAATACGCCTTGCGAGTAGGGAAGAGCTGCCATGATAACGATGGGTCGGGGTATGCTGGTTGGGTAACGAAAGCCAAGCAATGTAATACTGGTAGAATAAGCGGTGATCGGGTCGGGATGATAGAGTTGCGTGGGAGAATAGATGGTGGCTTTGTTGATGCATATAGTAGGCGGAATGGGATTGCGCCTGCGTTCTGTATGTGCCTCAAGGCGGAACTTCTTTCCCATCCCAGTCCCAACACTTCCCTCGTCCTTCAGGCGCCACTTCCCTGATCACATCGATCAGTCTTTCTGCGACCCAGTCGCGCTCGAACAGCTTTTCCTTCTTGACGTTGCTCCAGAAGTCCTTGCTCAACCCTGTCTTGACAGTTCCAGGATGCAAGGCAACCGCCATCGCGTTGTCGCCAGAAGCAGTCCTCAGATGATTGTCGAAGGTCTTGACTACCTGATTGACACCTGCTTTTGAAGCGCGATAGCTGTACCATCCTCCGAGGCGGTTGTCGCTGATACTGCCAACTCGAGCTGACATGATAGCTATCGTAGCTACATCTGGTAAACCTGTCATGTCCTCTTGGTCTTTATCGACGACTGCGCTTTTCCTTGGAAGGAAGGGAGAGAAGTGCTTGAGCATCAGCATTGGGCCTAACGTGTTGGTGCGGCTGGGTTTTGGTGTATCAGATCAGCACATGTATCATGTAAACCTGGGAGAGCGGCATTACTCACAAAGTCAGCAAAGCATCGTCGGCGTTGATCTGGGCTGGTGACTTTTCCGGAAACAGAATCCCGGGAACCATCAGCGCGAGCTGAAGCTGACTGGGACTACCGCCGAACTGCTTCTTGCAGGTCGCTGCGGCATCCGCGATACTCGTCTCATCTAAAACATGGTCAACACTTGATCATCGTTGTACACACAACACCATCAATGCTGGTGACATACCCAGAACATCCAACTTCATCACCGACAATCGCGACTCGTCGACATCCAAGCCATCGAGCAACTCTTCCTTGGTCTTTTCAAGGTCCTTCCGCGCCGTTGCGACAACGGGCGCGTTTGTGCTTTGCAACACCCGTCTTGCGAGCGCGAAGCCTATGCCCCGCGAGGCAGGTGAGATCAATGACCACGGCGGCATCGCGACGGATAAGAATGAAAGACAGTAAGAGATGCCATGGTCACGACATTCCGGTGATACTTCACGAGCTACGCGAAAAGTGGTCGGGACGCGATCGATGATGACATACATGCCCGTGGATCGGCTAGTATAACATTGGTTAGCGTCAGCACACTAGCGTGGTTTTCGCCCTGCTCCAGCCTGGCTACACTCAGGGCATTCACTCTTCACGGCTGGAGACATGTTGGGAGAGCACAGCGTCTATGTCTTTCTCTCATACATGGCAAAGGATCGTACGATATCCTGACTCGACATGAGTAGCACCCGAGCTCTGTGTCGCAAGTAGCGCAGCCAGACCAACACATCGTCGGTTTGCACAAGAAAACAATGTGTGCAGCAGTTTCAAAGTCTCATCAACCAACCCATCTTGACACAGCAATAAAGACGAGTAGAGCTAGGTCATGCTCTTCGTCTACGCCCTACTAGTCATAGATATCGATGTCGAAGTTGTCCCAGTTAGTAGGCTCCATCACAGCTCCTGCGCTTGCCGGCTCCGCACTGTCGTCCATCTCTGGTTCCTGTTCTGTTTGCTCGCTCCGTCTCGCCTCTCGCTGTTCGTAGTCCGTCTTCTGCTTCTGGGCCCATTTCTCGCGCATGTTGTTCTTCTTGGTACGGCGCGACGCGGCTTGCTCTTCCTTGGCGCTCAACTGCTCTTTTATTTTCTCGATCTTGACGTTCAAGTCTTTCTCTTCAGCGGCGGCGGCGCGTTTTGAAAGGTTACGGCGTGCTCTGATAAGGTCTTCCTTGACTTTGAGCTTCGCTTTCAGCTCGCGTAGACCGCTGCCCACTTCCTCAAGCCTGGTCTTGATGTCCACCTGTGCAAGCCGAAGCTCCTCGTCCCTATCTTTCCGAGCGATGGATTGTTTGGATTTGTAAACGATCTCTGACTCGCGGGATGTGAGGCTGGATACTGCATCAGCTGGCTTTGGGTCGCCTGCATCGCCATCGGTCATGGGAAGTCCTTGTTGGAGAGGGAGAGCAGACGGCTTGTACTCTTCCGCGCTCTCGTGACGTGATTGAACCGGGCCTCCAGATTCTTGCTCCACCTTTTCGTGGCCTGCGGTCATGGCCATGTTTGTGAGAGACATCGCTGTGTAAATTGGCAGCACGGAACAAGAGGTGTGAGTTGTTGTAACAGTGGGCTCGGTCGAGAGGTAGTGGGCGAGTTTGTGTGATCAGTTGAAAGATTTAGATTGTCGAAAATTCTGCTCAAGGCGAGCGTAGTAGTACAAGTGAATGAGTCTCCAAAGTTCTGTTCAAGCACTGCCTAGTCTTGGCGTTTCTAAGGTCGCGACGTGACGCACACGTGCGCGCTTGGGACAGTTTATCCGCCAAAAGACTAAAATGTGCTCACGAAGACTTGTAAGTGAACGTTCATGCTGCCAAATCGATGTTGATTCGGAAGCCCTGGGATGCCCAGACCAGAACAAAATAGCCACACCGATCACCGGTATGGTACTATTACTCTCAAAAACCTTCATCCAAACCTTCGTCAAGTGCTGCTAGTCCGAGTGCATCGCAATAGTGAGAGGTACAACCAAGCTAATCGCCAAAGAACCATAGACTTACGTCAAAGCCGCACTGCAAAAGCCCAAGTAAGCGAGACAAACTCCCCAAACATCTACACTCGATCCATCCGGCTCCTGATCCACGGCTCATACTTCCTCCGCGTCTCTTCGTCACCGTAGATGTCAATGTCAAACCCGTCATCCGCCGCCATCCTCTCCATTTCCACACGCCTTTTGCTCTCTTCTTCTTTCTGCGCTGTCGCAACCGCTGCTTCTGTTTCCCCCGCCACAGTCTCCTTATTGATCTCATCCTCAGGTTCACGCTTGGTATGCCGCCCTGTGAATGGATGTTCCAAGCCCAACCCCTCCATCTCCCGATGCACTCTGATCTTCCACTCTTTGAATGCCAGCCCTTTAGGACACTGGTCGAAACGCAGATGCCGATATACAAAAGCATCCTCTGCTTGCCAAATCCGCTCGTTCGTCTGAGCTCGTTTTCGCCATGCGTCGATATCTCGGATGTCGGGATATTTGGGAGCGAGTTGGCGTGCTTTGTCCAGCTTTTCTCGATCAGCATTGCGCCGTCCTGGCTTTTCTTTGTTGGGTCTTGGAGGGTCACTTCGTTTCGGAGATACTGAGGCTTCAACTTCCGGTCGTCTGTTGCGGTCGGCGTCGAACGCGTTCGGACGCGGCGGGCGGGTATGCTCGAATTTCGCCTTCTTTCCTGGCCCTTGTGCATGCTCGGGCCTTCTGTTACCGGGTCGATTTCCTGAAGTCTTGTCATACTCGTCCGGGGCCTGGATCTCGCCCCCAGCCATCGGATACTGCTCATCTTGAGTGTCTTCCCACTTCCTCCTCCTGTTCCTTCCTTGCGCAGGTGCCAAGTCTCCAGCACGTCCTCTGACTGAGGTCGCGCGTCCAGCCTGCGCCCTTGCGTCTCCTACATTCTTCGCGCGGTCGGGATGTACGAAAGCCATGTCTAAGTCTGTGCACGTAGTAAATATCGTTGCGTTGAAGATGTAGCGAAAGGCGCGTGTTGTGAAAGTATTAGAATGTGGTATCTGCCGGGTGAGTGTAGGAATGTTCAGTATGGTAGTTGCGGCAACTTACGACTCTTATTCCAGGTACAAACGCTCGACGTGTTCGCATACAAGGCATCCGCAGTGAATCGTGACTTCCAAGGTTGTGACCCACCAACTCTTGTGGTTGCACTACCCTCGCTCGCCAGGCACCAAGCAACAACGTGACAACAACCTCGCTAGTTGCATGAATATCAAGGAAATATTAGTAACGTACCGAGATGAGTCCAGGTATCTTCTTTGTGACTGACGCCTTTTTCTGTCCGGCAACGTTGTGGTTGTGAGTTAACGTAGGGTGTGAGTGTACCAGATGGACCCTGAAGAGCGCGCTAGCAGCGGATTGGTTGCAAACGCAAGCTGGAGCCGAAAGAGGAAGCCACGCGGTGTTGGATGAGTCCGAGGCATGTCATGACTGTACAGACTCGGACTGAAGAAAGCATGGAAAGCTTGAGAGTCATGAAGCCTATTGACTTCATCACACATCGCACGAACCATCCACGCAAAACGCGATCTTGTAAAACGTCGAGGCTAGCCTAAGAAAATGCCAGGCCAGCCACACATCATTAAAATATCTACAGCCATGCTCATCAACGCTTATCTCCCCAGCCATCTCACAATGAGCATATCGAGTCTCTCCCCTCCATGGCTCCGTTACCAGTGTAGATAGAGAAAGATGTAAAACAAGGAAAGCTCAACGAGGGAATCACAGCTATACATGCGAGGAAATGCAAAACCGAAAACGCCCATTTAGTCTCTAATCAAGTGAGAAAAAACCGCAGACAGGGAATAAAGCGTAGTAGTGGTAGTAGTAATGTGTGGATAAGGAACATTGTCAGATCGCTAGCATAATGCGAAACGTGACAGGAAAGAGAAATATGATCGGTTATTTACAAAAAAGAGTCGTGACGGCTCGTCAAAGTAGGAAAACAGTAAGGCGTGGTATGCAAACAAGTCCACCCGTCCTACCGACGCTGCAGGTACTACCTGGGCGGGCTCCTTGGACTTCGTGGACTCCGTGGTGGGCTCTTGGGCACTGCGGGCACGTCCGGTACATCTTCTTGATCCTGACGAAGATGTTCCGGGGCCTCGTCCCGTGTTATTGTTGCTCTGCGTATCGCGTTGCGTAACCGGCTCATGACCGCTGGCTGTGTATTGGGTGTACCCTGTTGGTAGCTGTTCCGGTGGCCTTGGAAGCTGTTACGACTATGCGAAGACTCGAGTCTTGTCAACATAGCTGCCGATGTAAAGTCGTTGCTTTGCTCGAAACTAGGGCGTACACGGTCCATAGACATGCGTGCACGATCGAAGCTCGGTCGCACACGATAATCGGTCGACATGCGGTGGATGAGAGGAGGAGGAGCTTCCGTTGTGGGTGCGGGTGGAAGACCTTCCGTAGAGCGGCGGAAGGTGTAGTCGGTGCTGTTACTGCCGTTTTGGCTTCTCGGGTTATGCGTCGTAGCCGTCGGGGCGACTGATGGTGGATAGATGGGACGCACGTCTTCATCGGTAGCATCGGCGTTAGCGGCTTTGTACTTTGTAGCGTCGGGTTCCGACTTGTTAGAGTCTGACTCACCAGCCACCTTCTCGGGCGGTGGAGGAAGGTAGGCGTCAGTGTCTCTAAGGTAGTCGAATTTGCCTTGCTTGACTTGCTCTCGGATGATGTCCGCGTCGAGGGGGAAGTACATTTTCTGCACAACCTTGAAAATGAAGCGCGGAAGTAAACAAGCTATCGTAGCGCAGAGGACGTAAGCCCAGAAATTAAGAGTACCATATGCTTCGGCACCAGCTTTGTAGAACTGAGCACTCGATGTGAAGGAGGTGTACACTCCGGTCCAGAACCAGATGAAGAGAGTACTGATGACGACGATGAGGACCATGAGCCAATCCCAACGGTAGGTGTTGTACAACACGTAAATGTTGGCAGCACAAACGGCGGTAGTCGCAGCATAGATACCCATGCGTCGGAATTCAGCCAGGTCCAGTCCGTTGGAAGTCGCGAAAGTAGCGGGTGCGAAGATCTCATACAAGAAGAAGAAAGCGACCGCGGATTGGTAGATACCGTCGACCATGTAAGCCCTGGAGAATGTTAGCAATCTTTCATACGCTCTGAGAATACTGTACTTACCAGAACTTCGGCTGGCTCCATTCCTTCCGCTCGATACCACGACGGTACAGCTGTGGAACGGCCAGAGATACTCTATCATCGACATCCTGATCCAGAACACCCATGACGATAACAGGGAGTGACGTAAACGCCAAGTTGAAGAAGATAATGTACGTGTAGTCAAAGATATACTGGCTGTCGAAGTTGGTGTAAATCTGGTACCAGAAGAGAGAGAACGTCCAGATGATGTTCTTGTAGAAGAAGTTGGCAATCGTCTCTGCCAGTCTGCGGTAGGACCATCGACCATGAACAAGCACTAGACGAGTGAGGAAGCGGAATTGACCAATGGCGTAATCAGAGGACATGACGGCTGCGCGTCCCTCAACACCAGCGATACCGACACCGACATGGGCTTCTTGAATCATAGCGACATCGTTGGCACCGTCTCCGATAGCGAGAGTGAGACAGTCCAGGCCGGTCTTCACCATATTGACGACAGCTGCCTTCTGACTGGGACTGACTCTGCAGCAGAGAACGGACCGGCATCGCCTACACAGAAGAAGGAACTTCCTCTTTACCGAATCATCCAGAGCCAGCTTAAGAGTATCTCCGTCAATGATGATGGCATGCGTAGGTGGTGGAGGTTCGTGATCGTTTTGAGCGGCGGCTAGCTCTTCTTCAGAGCCTTCCAAGCCGAAGATCTTCAACTTCTCGTCAAGCTGGGCTTCCACGGAACCGATGTTGTCATCGGTAACCTTGAGAATGATGAGGTCCATGTCGTTATCGAGTAGGTTGCAAGAGAACCCAATGTTGATGGCTGTCTCAACTTTGTCACCCGTTAGGACCCACAGTTTGATACCAGCTTGACTGAGAAGAGAAATTGACTCTGGCACACCGTCTTGAAGTCGATCTTCGATGGCAGTTCCTCCGATCAGCCACAGGTGGTTTTCGATGCGATCAGAGACCTCTTCCAGCTTATCTTCACGACCCTGGATAGCGTTGGCAGCGATGTCATAATCCCTGTTCCACTCTTGATATTCCTCTTCAGAAACCTCTCTTTGAGCGATGCACAGTGTTCGGAGTCCTTCTCGTGCAAACATTTCCAGGTGTTCACCGGTGTCGGCACGGAGCTGTCGCTGCTCATTGGGGATCAATCTCGAGTAGATCATGCTGTCGGCTCCCTTGCAGAAGAGGACGATTCGGTTATCGGGCATTCTGATGATCGCACTCATGCGCTTCCTGCTGGAGTTGAATTCCAGAGTGTTGAGAACCTGGTATTTGCGCTCTTCTCCCAAAACATTGACGACGAGACGGTCGTCTTCGCGGCCTACGAATGTGAAACCACAGTCGCGAGCAGTCGCGACAAGTGCAGCTTCGTCGGGCGATTGTGCTTTGAACTCGATCTTCGGCGGGTCGCCTGGAGTGCGTTCGGTAACAACGGTATGACAGAGGGCCAAAGCGATCATGAATTCCTCGTTGGCTCTCTTCTGTTCCATTCCAGAGTCTCCACGCAGGTCGTCGACATAGTCCGGGGCAATAAAGGTCAGGTCGTCGTCCCACAAGTAGGGGTTGTTGTGCATCTTGCGGATACCCTCGAGCATCCGCACACGGTCGCGTGCGATCTGTTCGCGAGCTTTGGCACCCTCCACTTCGACGTTGATACCCTGTCTGCGTTGCATACCTGCTTGAGCCTCCGTGTACGCTTCTCCGTAGGGCACACCATTGATGGTCGCCTTCTTGAACTCCATCACGTTTTGTGTGAGCGTTCCCGTCTTGTCCGAGAAGATGTATTCGACCTGACCAACGTCGTCGGAGATGTTCCAAGACTTGGGAGTACATGGGTAATCGAGCTTTGCGTAGTACATGTGGATGTCGCTGTAGATGAAGAGGGCCTGCAACGTTCGAATGATTTCCAAGGTGATGTAAAGAGAAATGGGAACCAAATTCTGGAAGAGAATAACGGCAGCCCAAAACGCAATGACACCGTCTGTAGCAGGGTTACCTCCGTAGGACCCGTATTCGAAGAAAGAATGGGTGGTGTCGTCTCGGGCCCATGTCACCCCAAGCACGATTCCAGAAACCAGACACATGGCGGCCAGGATGAAAAAGTTGTATACAACGTTCCAATTAAGTTCTTTTGATATCCTGGCTCGCTTGCTAGGCGTGATACCAGAGTTGATCATGATCTTGGTCTCTTCTCCGGTAAAGACGACAACGCCCAATACCCACTCGGTGTTTCGGAGTTGGCAGCCACGGAGGATAAGGTTGTTGATGGAGATGGGCTCGACCATCTCGTACGGCGGTGCTTCGGGATCCTTTGCATTGTGCTGCTGCCATCTGATGGCTGCGCTGTACGAGTAGAGGTTCGAGTGGGCGCCTTCGCTCTCGATAACGAAGTCGGCGCGTTCGCAGTGTCGAGCGTGTCGCACTTCTCGGGTGCAGTGCAGTGCGTTGCGCACCTTAAGGTTCGTCTCACCGTCCAAGTTCTTCGTCTCGACATAGCACGCGCCGTCGTCGGAAGAGGTGGAGAGAACGATGACGTCGGCGGGGATCTCCTCGTCGTTGTAGAGGCGCACAAAGTCGCCGACCTGAACGTTCTTCCAGGCGTCCTTCTTGAAACGTGCCTTTTCCGGGACCGTCTTGTTCGGATTCAGGACGCTTCCCCAGAACTTCTTTTGCACACCGGGATTGGCGTCTGCACCGCGGATCTTGTCTCCCTCTCCTGGCCCGGAAGTCAACGGAGGGGATTGCGCTGGGGATTGGCCTGGGAGCGGCGAAGGCACGGGTGTCATCTGGATGTCGTTCTCACCGCCAAAGTAGGATTCCCTGTGCGATGCGATGGATGCTCGGCGGGTCTCGTGCGAGGGGCGCGTGCCGTCGACAGCGTTGTCGTCGCCGCCTTTGCCCTTTGCACCCTTCTTGCTCTTCGCGTTCTTCATCAGGCGCCATGTTGAGATTATGCCCTTGGTGGTAGCCTTCTTGATCCTCCGCCATAGCGAAATCGAGTCCTCGGCCGTGTTTACGTTGTTAAAGTCGACGAGTCGGTGGACGGGTGCGTTGTTCAGCTCGTTGTCGAGGACGGTTCTCCGCCAATCTTCTACTCCGTCCTTGATGGAGGTTACGACGAGAATGACGATGAGGGGTACTGCGTTCAGCGCAGGATTACTGGCGCCGAAGATTGAGAAAATCTAGACAGTCACGTTAGTCTGGGGGTGTCAAAGGTGTCAGAGGGGTGGGTACGCACGCCCAGGATAATGATAAACAAGAAGTAGACATTGGCGATGTTGTGGAACTGGAACCACAGGTTCTTGGGAATGAAGCTGAGGGGCGTGTATTTGGCGGTTCTTATCTTGTTGCGGGCGTAGTGTGCGAGGGGCTGGCCTTCTTCGTCGCGCTCTGTTTGGGGCAGGGGCACGTTGAAGTAAACTCTCCGGCCGGAGTCTTCGTGGTCGGCGCCTGCATCTGAACTCTCAGGAGACTGGTCTTGGTCGAGCGGCGGCCCGCCTTCTTTGCCCAGCGAGTCTCGCTTCTCGCCGCCAGAGCCTATGCGCCGGTGCAGGCGCTCCTTGAGCGAGTGTCGCTTGTTGGCCGCTTTGATGCCGGTTGCGCGGTGTGTTGCCCCTGCGTGGCTCCCGTCAGCGCGTGCTCTCAACTCTGTGCTGTCAGCGGGTGGTGTCACTCACAACGTATGCGCTTCTGCGGATGTGACACCTCGGTCTCATTGGGCTCCATGTAGGGTTCCAGCGTCATGGTGCCTGTCGTCGGGGAGGCTGCGGCGGTGCGAGGGCGGCGACGGCCTGAGCCGGGAAGGCTCTACGCGGCGCGGCAGGCCAATTCGATCGTGTCGGACGCGGGTGGGAGGCGACGGGTGCAGTGCATGTAGTGCCGGGCGGGTGTTGAGGGGCGGTGGGAGCGTGGTGGTGTTGTTGTCGCGGAGGGTGAGAACAGATGGGCGCCCGTGTAGTCGGATATTAAAAGATGCCGGACGAACTTGCACGCAGAGGCGGAGCGACGGGCAGGCAGGCGATGCGACGGGCGATGGATTAGGCGGTGCAGTGTCGTCAGTACACGATGAGGCCCAGCAGCACGAGGGGAAACAGCGGAGCGGCAGGTACTTCGACAGACCCTGACAGTGATGAATGGATGGATGTGATGCTTGCCATGTGCTTACAGAAGCATCGGCGCGGGAAGCACACGCCTCGCACTCCCTCGGCCGGCCGCTACGGTCTTAACAAGATGCGAGCCTAGTTGCTCTTGGAGGACCCGCACTGCGATCTGATCATTAAACGCACCAACACAGGAGCATTTATTTCTGTCGCGCGCGTTGGCGACGCGTGGCCTGGACGCTCCAGCACAGAGGCAGTAGACACAGTGCACATCCCCATCTCAAAGCTCGGCAACAGTGCCTCAGAGGGAAGAGAACACATCCTCTGCAACGCATGGCCCCAGCATGTCAGCAGTCAGCACTTGGGCTTGCCAGTGCCAGTTCATGGACTAATCGCAGCGGAGCTTCCGCGGGCCACCGCCAGCAGCCCTTCTAAGCAGGTCGAGTGGAGCATCATCTCAGCCCTCAGTCCCTCGACTCCGCTGTGCATGGCGTAGCCGGGAGATCCTCAGTTCCGTGCTTCGTACAACTCACTTTTCACAGCTGGCACTTGGATTAATGAAGCGTCTAGAGCCGCATCCATGTGCTTAATATAACACCTCTAACGGTGTACGCCTTTGAACCTGAGATCTGATACTGCCCAGCGCAGCGAGAGCAATGCGAAACCGTTGAAACAGACGTCACCACTCTGTGAGGGCGGCATCGCTCGGATGCGAGCTACTTTCTGCAGGTGAAAATGGACCTCCGTCCAGCGACATTCGGATGCCGGCCAATGCGGATTCCGATGCATGTCGTCAATGGCAAAGAATCTAGCCCGCCTGCACGCCCTGCGCGAGGCAGCGAGGCGTCCACGGTGGAATGCGCCCAGATGCTTAGCCCCGGGTCAACTCAGGGCTGTTCGTCGACCTGGCACGTGACAGCGTGCTGTGAACGGTGGAATTATTCCCGGCCTGTGGGCGCCTCACGCGTCACGACGTTACACCACCAGGCACCCCACCCGTCTACACCACCACCCCTCTATTATTCTCCGCCATGAAACCACAAAAGAAAAGTATCCGAGACTTCTTCTCGCCCGTTTCCAGAACCCCTCCGCCTGCTGCTAGCCCGCAGACCACGCTGCCTCAGAGAAGTACACGCTCCCCACCAGTATTGCTGCCCCAGGCTAACCGCACTCCCACTGCAGATGCAAACAATGCGCCTACCCGTCAGTCAAACTCGCCAAACTCGTCCGGAGTGGCACAGGACGCAAATTCCCATGCCGCCCATACCCCGCTTTCCTCGTCCAACACACCCGTGTCCAGCGCGCCGTCTACAATGAGAGCTGCGAGTGCCGATGCGCCGCCTTTCAATCCCTCCCAAACATCCGCAAACTCGGGCGCAAGCAAGCGCACCACATCCAATGGCCAGCAGGTAGTTCTCGACTCGGACGATGATTCTCTACCCGACCTTGACTTTGGTCTTCCCACCCCCAAAGTCAAGACAATCGTCACGACCACCACCACACGTTCTAAGCGCATGTCTGAAGACCAAGAGAACGGTCTACAAAAGCCGGCCAAGAAGGCCAAGGATAACAGGAGCAAGTTTGATGTACTTGTAAAGGCGGCCCACAAGAATCTCGAGACAGAGCGGCAGATCAAGGAGCACAGTGCGCTTCTGGACCAGTCCCTTGAAGAACACGCAGATACTACCCTGGCACTCAACGAGGAACTACTTGGCCAAGCTGTGGACGACGACGACGATCCAGAGAAAGCGCATCGCCTCCTTCAGGCCATGCAGAGAACAAATGCTACACAGATGGAGAGCGTCTACCATTTCTTCCAAGATGACTCGGACTCAATACAAGCGCAGCCCAAGTTCCCCATCAGCAGCCTGCCCAAGCACGGATGGGCCTCGATTTTCAAAGGTGGGATGGTTACAATGACGATAGGCTGGGTCTATTGCTAACATGGTCAAGACTCCCACGCCAGGGACCAGGCTTTCATGACCGGCTTTGCACAACAGATCTTTCGAATGCAACAACTGCCCGAAGAACTAGCTTCCTGGATGATTGAATGTAGTACGTATCACGCGAACTTGATAAAATGTCTCCGCTAAGAACTGTAGTTTCCCAAAGCCGGAATGAGGCACTTAGCTGCAGATACATTGAGATCTTGGAATCAGAACCTCACAACAAGCACCTCCGTACGCTGCTTGACATCGACAGGCTGGATTATTTATTCGGGGCAATGGGGGCCAATACAACTCAACTTGATGCGCAGACTGAATTAGTCCCAATTTCAGTACCACGAACCGAAACTAAAGTCCTGCTTCCTCCGTCACTGGTCTCTGCCGCCAGACTACTTCAACAAGCAGCGCCAGTGTAGGTGGACTGTCTACATGTACGGTACTTTGCTGACTTTGGTAGGCTACGTTCGAAAGCTCGAAGGCGTGCGCTCTCTATTCTTTGCCACGTGTGTCTGGATGACCGACTTATTGCAGATGCTCACATATTACACATCATCCAGGACGCTATGGAAGCTCTCATATGCAACCTTGATAACCACAAAATGACCTCCACCGTAGGGAGTCCTCCACTGCAACACGATACCCAGGCTCTAATTTCTTCACAGCTTAGCGATATCATCTCCCAACTACTTGTCAAAGTAACGCATCCTCTGCTTCAAAGGAACCTAGTCTGTTCTTTCCCAGCGACTTCACCATTAACGGCATACCTACAACGCCACTTGGCTCTCGCGTTATTAGTCTACCCAGTACCAGTCGACGTAGAACTCTCAGACCCCAAGCTGCCTGACATGATTCACCAATACCTGGACAAGTCTTCGAATTTCCGAATAGACAAGGACACCGACTACGAGCACCTCACCGCACGTTTGACATTGCTTGACATTGCCATAGGGCCTGGCTTATTGAACGTCCCGTATCAGCCCCTATCAAGTCCAACTACGTCAGAAACCGGCTCGTCTCCAGTCAGGGTTCCAGTACCAGCGTCATCAGAAGTCAAAGATTTCAACAACGAGGTGGATGCGCTTGCTCGGCAGTTCCAGCTACTCAGCAACTCCATCGTCGAGGCTGGCGCTGCGGTGGATCTTACCATCATGGACGCCAAAGATTCTATAGAGAGACTACGCGCACGACTCGAGCACGCTGTGCGGATAGGCGGAAAGAAGGTCTATAACCTCTTTGGTGATGAAGATGAACACACACAGCCAAATCTCAGAAGGTTCTTTAAAAGCACGAGCAAAGACGCGCCGAAGAAGTCCATCTTCGACGAAGAGGACGATGTAGTGGTATCACCAGCCGATGACCCAAAAGCCTGAAAGGCCCTGTTACGATGTTGCTTCGCATACAAGCTCAGATCATGCAACGACACTCGCATTGACAAGGTATCAGTCTCAATAAACAATACCATGCCAATTTACCTCTCGTGGAAATCATCTCAATTGCAGAGACAATACCACCCTGCGCATCTTGACGAACTTTATTGAAAATTATTGAGAATCAATATGAGATGATCTATCAATACAGAATTGTAACGATATTTCAAGATCATATCGGAAAGTGTCATACGATATTGCGCGCGATCCTATAGTTCTGTAACGCACCTGTGAAAGCGAAGTTCGCATCACCATCGGCACAGCACTTGGCGCCCTTCTCCGCGCGACAATCTTGGGACTTCAGGGGCGATCTACAGGAGAAGCCAAACCGGCGTGTCCCATTGCAGCGCGTCCGTCGTCTTCGCAGACTACCCAATGCGAGAAAACGATGCAATTTCACCTACTGCAATCCTTCGAAAACTAGCGTCTTAGCCAAAGGGTCTAGACAGGAGAGAAAAATCATGCGCGCAGCTGTATCCGTGAGGATGCTCGGTCGCGGCCCACAAGAAGAGATTCATCTCCTCCTGTCACATTGCATGGCGGGGCGGCGACGCGGCTTACTCATCTAACTACTGTACGTGCGTGCGTGAGGCGGGTTCTTGGCTGAGAGAACCCGCAGGTCTTTGCTCATTAAGAACACGTGTGCAGAGATACTCGTACAGATGGATTGTAAGGCAGGCAGACGGCACGGGTACGCTTCACGAATGGCAGACGCACCTGGCGACATGGGAAACAAGTCCTTCCAGATGCACGATGAGAGAACTGTGGCGCATGCAGAATGCTGACTCGCTATCTGAGGCGGTGTGATGGTCCACTGACGGAACATGTGCAAGCTAGCAGGTTGCGTACCGTGGAAAGCTGGGAACGGCCTCGGCCAGGGTGCGAAGCGAAGAAAGGGAACGGGGGACCTCTAGATTTCGCGCATCTCAAAAGAGCGCGAGTGTTTGGGATGATACGAGAGGAACCAGATTACCTCTGCCTTGAGCACACGTAAACACTTCCTTCCCGATCCACGCGCCTCTTCTAGCCCTAATAAAGCGACCGAAAATGTCGCGCATATCGAGGCTACATGCCGAAGCCCACAACCCGTGACCCATCCCATCGCAGGGCCATCCCCATACAAACTCCACCTGAAATAATCCCGGTGGTAAAACATACAGCTAGCCCCGTTCTGCCACCACATGCATGCAGGTATCCTTGGTCTCGGTAACAGTTCTTGTTATTTCGGATAGCAGTTTCCGCGTTTGAACTAGATGCCGTTTGCCGATGAACGGTTTGGCGGCTTTGCGGGATGGTCCTTGTAAAAGTAAATGCACTGCTGCACTCGATGAGAATGCGGATTAGCGGCCTTTGTCCGCGGCGTGCGGGCGAAGAATGTGACAGTGACAGCTGTAGTGAGGGCTTGGGGAGGCTTGATCTGTTTTGGTATTTGGTTTGTTTGGGGGTTGTGTTTTAGGTCGTGAGTTGGTGGGCTGGAGACGGGAGAACCCAAGGATTGTCATGACTATGTCAACTTGTGATGTCGATGAGACTCATATACTATTTCCATGCGGGTCGCGAATCTAAATTAACGCGTGGTATCCAGATCTATATACACAAAGAACGCTAAGTGCAGAAACGATGCAAAGCTGAATGAAACCAACAAAGCCAGTCGTAGGGAGTATCAGCGCTGCTGAGTCCCCGTCATTACTTCCACATCACCAGCTGTAGACTATGGAGGGAAAGAAAGAGTCGTTCGATTGGACATGTACGTTCGTTGGCTTCGCTCCCGGCTCTTCCAAAAACCCCTTCTTTTTTTATTTTCAAATCATCCAACCGACTATATCCCACCAAGTCCGTTCTTCTCGTCAATGTGTCTGTAGCGCTCCTGCTCCATGCGGTACTTGAGGACCATGGCAACGCAGAGTACGAGGATCATGTCCACGCCGACGATGCCAAAGGCGGCAGTGAAAACGCGGTCCAGGTACGTGTTGGCGAATGAGGAGAACTTGCCGATGCATCCTCCCTTCTGAGCGGCGACCAGGGTGTTTTGGCATGTGCTGTCCTGGACGAATGGAGGGGTGGTCGAGTTCACGTAGCCGCAGCAGTCAAACTGTTCCTCGTCAGCTTGTGTGCACACCGGCGTGGACGTGCGGAAAATGCGCTTCTAGTGCTGACGCCAGTCATGGAGGACTCACCTTTTGCTGCAGGAGACTCTGAATAAGCGGCGACTCACGGCCCCAAAGTACACTGAGGTTGGTGCGGGTTTGCAGAGTTTCCACCCAGATGGCAATACCGAGTCCGAGTGTGAATGTTGCACAGATGACGACTAGCCAGCCCTGAGTACGAAGCCAGCCTCGGTTTGTTGGAAGGAAGAGTGCAGGGAGAGACAGCAGGAATGTGACGAAAACGAAGATGGCATTGACGACGCCAGCTGGATAAGGTGTTAGTTGATGTTTCTTGAGACTGCATGTTCATAGGCGATGCGTGGGACGATGCGCCGCCACAGTGGTGCCAGAATATCGATTCCTTCAACACCACCCTCATCGCCCATTCGTGGAAGCCGTACCTGTCAATGGACACTGGCCGAGCAGCAGGTTCTGTGTGACGTTGTCTACGGTCGGAGTGGCGCGCATCGATTGCTCAGATATGAGGGAGAAGCCCAGCAACAGTCCTCCACATCCGGCGAAGAGGAAATCCATGCCCACAAAGGCCATCATCAGTTTGGTCGGCATCTTGACGGTAGTGCGATTTGACGGAAGAGACTGGAGAGAAAAGAAGAATTGGACAAAGAATGGAAGTCGAGCGCAGCGGAGCCGTCCGGCGTACTCTCGTGAACTACGTCGATCAAAGCGATCAACGCGAATTATTAGATAGAAAGTAGCGAAGAGAAGAGAAGGTGGTAGCAAGAGCAGCGCTCGCGCGGAAAATGCATGGCATTGGGGACACGGGGGCCTTGAGCATTAAGAAGCACTGCGCAGGCGCGTCGCAGTTGGACCACGGCGATGCGTGGGTGGTTTCAGTAGTGTTGGAGCATGGTGGGCGGCCAATCACGGGCGCGAACGGGCATAATGGTTCGATGTTTTGGCGCTGCGACGTCGGTGAGCCACAGACGAGTGGATCGCGGCGTGAGGATGCGACGAGAAGTTTGGAACATTCATCAGGAATTACTTGAGATGCAGTGCGGCATTTGGCTGTCACGAGGCGCGGTGGTGGTGAGTACCCAGCTGCTGCTGCCTCACGCAGGCCGCCACCAACAGCGCAGGCGTGCGGGACGAGGGAGCAGGCTAGACCGTCGCTGCAAGCGAAGCGAGATCAAACGGGGAAGGTGCGTAAGGGAGGTGCTTGCCTGGTGCTGGCTTGGTGCAGCCGCGGCTTCCAGCACGACCCACGCAGCACCACCGTCGTGGGATGCTCTGGAGTGGCATGAAGTGCATGTTTGGCGGATGGACAAGAGCAGCGGGCGGCAGAGTTTGGCATCTCGTCGGAATGCCTGTCTGCTGCGCGTGTACTGTCTGCTGTCGCCTGGGTAGTGTGAACTGTAAGACGGACAGGAGTGGGAACCGACATTCACCAGTTGACCGTCAATCTGACTTGAGCGGGACTAGCGGCGGCATCCCACCAATCAATACGAGACGAAACAGCGGGGCCTGCTCAGCTGCCTCTAGCGCAGCCCTCGGCCTGAGAGGGACGGCGGACTTTTCATGTGGAAAGGCCGCTGCTGTTCATCTCCAAAAGCGACCTGACAGGCCAAATTCTAGTGGGAAGGGGTCAAAGTTAGTATCAGCACGACGGGCGCGCTGCGCTGCAATCTGCCAGTTCATGCGTGTCGCGACGGCGGCGAGCGAGGCTGGCGGCCAGGGCAATAATTGTCGATCTCCGACTCAGAGCTGTGACCAGGGTTGCGCTCAAGCGCATCCGCCCCCAGTTGTGTGGATAGTTGAGGGCCTGCCCGCACCAAAGCAGCCAAAGCAGCCGTCGAGAGAAATACTTGACCACTCCCGCCGTTTCATTCCCAATACCGTTCGTCCCTTTCCTTCCTCAGACAGCTCTCGGGCTATAACACACCTGCACCACTCCGTCTGTCCCTGCGTGCCCGCCAAGCTCCACAAGCTCAGGGTTCACGAGACCACCGCTGCCTCTTTTTGCACGCTCCCAACGGCGCGCCAAAACAAAGCACTCGCCGCACCTGATCCCCCAGGCCGTCTAACAGGTACGTTGCCAGTATCTTTTCCGTCTCCTGCGAGGCCTGCCGCGCCAGGTCACGCTCCCCGGCACCAAGCCCTTCGACCAGCACCCCCCAGCCACTGGCGCAGCACGGGCCCCCGAGCAATTTAGTGCCTTCCACCGAGCACAGTGCGACCAAGCGTTTCCTCCCCCGCGCACCTTTTCCTTGCATTCCTGCTGCGCCATCAAAGGGACCAGCCCCGATCTTTTAACAGGCCGCGCTTCCTTTTCCTATTGAGGGCGTCCTAAGAGTCTAACCCAACTCAAGCTGTCTGCAGTTCCTTCTGTAACATTTTGCGCGTCTGCCCAAACCACGCAAGAACGCCTGCCAACTCCCCACACTCGGCCCAACTCAGCTTAGGGCCTTCGTCCCCCAAACACTGCGGGTAACCAATCTTTGTCGCGACTCACCACCATGGCCAGCGAAATCACCGAGCACGACCAGAACGCGTCGCCGTCCGTCCACGACGACGGCAATGGCACCATGGGCATGGAGAACCGCGGCGTCAAGCGTGCGCGCGCCGCTGCCGATGACGACGACGACGACGATGACAAGCCCGGCCGCGAGCGAAGAAAGATTGAGATCAAGTTCATCCAGGACAAGTCGCGTCGACACATCACCTTCTCCAAGCGCAAAGCCGGCATCATGAAGAAGGTACGTTGGTGCCCCAGTCGCGCGCATCGTGTGGTGCATCTGCTCCCGCGTCGCTTGAAACCGTTGCCTGCACCGAGCGCTC